TAGTAAAGTGAGGTTAGAAAGTGTGAATTTGTAAAGCTTGCTGTGTACGGGAGTCAAAATGTTATAGAACTCAGTAAAAGAAATGAAAAGCTTGATGGTTTCAAGCATTACTGATGAATGAATATTAAATTTAAGAGACCACCAATTTCTGTGCTCACCTGTTAACCCCACTGGGGCAATTTGGTTTTGGGCGTGTTTTTTTTGGATTTGACAGCCACCTTGAGAAAAGATTTATTTCCATCCACACCTTCCCACTGCAACAGTGAACTCAAGTCAGTAGCTGGCTCTTGTTCTTTTACAGATCTAATCACGATAAAATTTACAACAAGCACCATCAAACCTAGATAGGGTTTGGGACAGACAGCTGGGACCCTGGATTCAAGCTGCCAAGCACAGTACACAGGATACAGCAGGGGACTGCTAACACTACAGGGAGATTCAGTATTAGTTGATAACTCGCTTTGGTGAAAGAAGTACTAAAAACGTGAAAAGTCTATCAGGTACAGGTTTCTATTCAAGTGTGATTACCTTATGTAGCTAAAAGTCCCAGTGTAACTGTTTCTTAACTTGGACTGAGAGCATCTAAGCTGCCTGAGAATCTCATTCTTAGTGGATACAGAGCTCATCTTAAGAAACAGAACAGGGATGAAGAAACTTGAGCCATGAGTTAAAACTAAGAACTGTGCAATGATTAGAAACACAAACAGGTTTCACCTTCTTACTCTGTATCTCTGTGCTTGCTTTTTTTTTTTTTTTTTTTCCCTGTAAATTTGGTTTAATAGCATTTCACTCTCTAAAGGGGTGTTGTAAAGCATAGCAAAGGAATGAAACTCTCTAAGCAGTTCTGTCAGTGCGGTAGCTTCATTACAGGTGATTGCAGATTGCTAACACCCAGCTTGGATTCTGCATTCTCCCAAGGCAGGCTATGACTGTAATCTCTTGTTACCATACAGATTTTTTGGAGGGATCGCTTTGCATGCTGCTCACTACACAGAACAAATAGCTAAAGTAACATATAATTTGGATAATAGATTTATAAAATTCCCACTGCCTGTTAGAAAAATGGTGACCATTGTTTAAAATTCACAAGACTGAAATTTGAGCATGATCCAGTACTGCTGAGCTTGGTCACAAGGCTGTCCGAGCACATAAAAAGGACTTTTCAAACAGAGTGAGATAGTGAAATGAATCTTACTGCAATGTGGCACCTGGAGACCTAATTTCTTTCAGCCCTGCAGAAAATCCCCATTCCTCTCCATATCCTTCCTTTGTCTATAGTGCTGCAGAATTCTTTGGAAAGTTAATATTCATATGCTGACTGTATGTTTGCTCCCAAGTGGTGGTTTTGTAGGAATTGCAGCCTGTAGAGATCTAAATGATTTCAGGCCTGCCAGCCTGAAAGCCTGTCCAAGTCATTATGTAGTATTGCAGTAGGTGTGACCTCCCAAGGCAGTACAAACTCTGCAAAAGCCTTCTGGATTAGTAAATGAAGAGTGATGACAGGACGTCTGCTGTGATGCACAAAAGAAAAACCTGCTGGACCCTTTGCCCCTTCTTTTGATCCCCATTTGTTAGCTTCCATAATGTGACAGCAAATAGGAAAAGGGGCTTTGAGTTCTGGCTGTCCAGAAAAAGAAGAGAGGGACAGAGGAGTTAGCTAGATTTAGATATTTTCTCTCGATAAATTTTCTCTGACCGTCGTCCTGCAAGCTGAGATTTAGTGAAGCTTTCATTTTGGACTCATGCATTTAAGTTGTAGAAATATTCTGTACTGGAGATAGAGGTTCAATTATGTCCTGTAGAAAAAAAAAAAATAAAACCCCACATATACACTACTAAAAATTTGCAGTGTTGCCTGCGAGCTCTTTCAGCCATAGTGCTTAATTTTATGTTTAACTTACTTCAGTGGTTCTGGTTATTCTTTCAATAACACCACAAAGTGGTTTTACTGAAGAAAAAGGAGAATGGTACAAGAGGTTAAATTTCCTTTTGAATCCAGCCTGTTTCACTTTTTTTTTGTTTGTTTTTTAATACTGATTGCCACTTTTGATGACTTTAAATGCAAGACATTTCTGTCTTCACTGATAGTGGAGCAAAGAGTTCTTCAGGTTACAATGTATGAAGATTAATTGTCCTCAATGTCTGTCCTGCAGGTCTGAAGAGAAGTGCTGGTAATGACACTTTCACACACAGTATGGGCACTGGTGATGTTTGTCCTTTACACTGTTTCTTATGAGACCCTGGTTTTGGTGCTAATAACGACCAAAATTTAATCCTCAAGGATGAAATCGCCTGTGCTTTATTTCTCATTCAGACTCAAGCTTATAGACCCAGCAATGTTGCCATTTCTGCAGATCAGATGAGAAGGAATGAACTGATTGCAAGATTTAATGGTTTTCTCTGTCATTTACTTGAAGAGCTTCAGCACAACTGTGTCTTGAAGCTTGAAGTCATACTTGGCAAGAAGGTGGACTCTAGGAATCAGAGGGTAGTCTTTCCTGCCCCTAGAAAAATGTTTGATTTTCCTCATGGAGTTTATTAAGGTTTTTGCTTGCTTTTGCTGAAAATGCTGAAAGGTCTGTCCTCTGGCCTGTTGTGATACATACACTGGGTGCAAAGCCTGCATAATTCCCACTTCACTGTCTCCACAGTACCTAAACCTCACACATTTTGTGGAGAATCACTGCAGCCTTTCTCTCACTCTGTGTTCCTATGTGCTAAATTTAACTGATTAGCTTGATCTGGGATCTGCTGATGGCTGCATCTGACATTTAGGTCAGTTAATGGGACAGAAGCCATGTTGCAGCTGTGCTATTTATCTGGCAAGGCCACCCTCACTTTGAAAATAATCCAGCTGGAGGACGTAATCCCCAGATGTCTTGCAACATGTGTCTTACTATGTCATGTGGCTGGATGTACGACTATCATATGCTATACGCTCTCACTCAGCTGTATGCCTGGTGTGTGACCCGGTGTGTGGCAGCCCAGATGCTGGGGCAGAAGACAGCAGTGAGGTTTACGCCCAGCTACTCAGGTCTCTGTTCAAACAGTACCAAGCATCTTCTTGAGATGTTCTCCATGGCAAAAGCAAACCTCCACCAACAGGAGGTAGAGTTTCATCCAAGGGTGACTGAGCTCTAGTTCATTCCATGAAGTAACACTAAGTCTGTGTACATCACTGTCCAGAAAATGCAGTTGTGTTCCCCCTCTCCTCTCATCTACCATTGCACATATTTACTGTGGAACACTGCTGCTGTTCCCTACAGGAGAATTCCCTTGCTCTGGTCACAGTTCATGAGGCAGAGAGCTATAAAAGGGGACAGAGAGCTTTTTTGATTTGATGCCCTGTGCTGCGGTCTTGCAGACTCCATTTCAATTTCATCTGTGATATTGGTTGCCATGGGATATTCAGAAAAGTTATTTTTGAAAATGCAAGAGTTGGCAGCCTTATTTTTGGCATTCCCTAACTTTGCATATTTGACTTTAACTCTGTGGGAGCAAGGCAGTAAGATCTTGAAGGATCAGGAAGTATATTCAAATGTCAAAATGTGTGTTGACTCTGAAGTAAGGACCCTAGACATAACATTTCACAAAATTCAGCATATTCTTCCCACTTTTAGAGAGGTTTCTATATTTAGAACCTAACATTTTCAATAAGGTTTTTAAATGCCAATGTTAGAAGGGTAAAATAAAATTAATCTGTCAAAGAGACGGTGTTCAGCCTGTAAGGATGTGTCTATACAACCTGCCTATTCTATGCTGAAAGCTGAATGTTTCTTCAAAGAAGTTAAATTTATCTCCCATCTATTTCCCTGTAATTGAGTATAACCTACTATATGGAAACAGTTTACTTGCAAAAGAAAATAACATCCTAAGGCATGTTTGTGGTGACTTCCAGAAGTATTGGCAGTGATATAATGGAAGAAACAAGAATGTGGCAGCTTGAGCTACATCCTCAGGATGTCTGCAGGGTGATAGAAAATGTGTGTTTACAAAGAACATCCTTCCCTTTCATTTTTCTGTTCCTTACCTGACTTTGATACACATGAATAATCAGTCAGTCCCAGAAGATGCATTTGAAGGGATTAGTACTGCAGGATATACACTTTTAAATGCAAATATCAAAAGCAGCTTAAGGAAACCAAAGTAGGTTGCCCAAATTTGACAGAGTGAACTGAATTAGAGTTTGTGAGCTGTGCAATTTTTAAACTTGAGTTATGAGGACTCTATTCGCACTGCGTTGCCATCAGATTCTCAGGATAGGTCCCGAGGCTCTATGCAGATCTATCTTCAATTCACATTGCCGTTCATAGAGATAAGTGGTGCTACTCAGGATTTTTGAAACTGAAGTTCTTCTGTAGGCACAGACTCCCTTTGTGACCTTGGAGAAACCACTGTACATTATTCCATTATTAATATATTTGCAAAACTGGGACAATATTACTTCTCTGTCTCTTGGAGAATCTTAAGGTATCAATAGACAGAAAGATTGTGCTTAGATAATATGGAAATTGAAGGATGTAGAAATACCTAAAATAGTCACCTCAGTGGAGTGAAGCTGACCATAATGACTTGTGAGTGATAAGCACGGGCTCCTTCCACCTGTGCTACGAAAGAGTTTCAAAACAGGACTATGAAGGACTAACTGCTTCCTGGAAGGTAAACCATCTCAAGTGAAGAATGTCTTACAGGAGGAATACTGTAAGGTTTTCTTTGCTATGCTTTACTGTCCTCTCCCAAAAGCTGTTGCAATAACTATATTAGAATTTGGATTGAGGGTGGTATCATTTTGCTTTCTTGGGGAATCTGAGTACAGTTCCACTGCTCCTCTCCCCTATCCCATCCTTGTTTAACTAAGCTAACAGAACTCAGTTTGATCTCACAGTGTAAGCAGGCTGGAACCACATTTTAAAGATGCACCCAAATTATTTGTCAGCCTTGTAAAATCCAACTTATTTCACAGTTAACTCACTTCAAGGTTCAGCTTATCTGTTTCATAGGATCAGCTGTGTCAAAACAATAATGAAAAGTTGCAATGGTAAGTATTGCATATTTAACAGAGTCGAACTTCAGCTGAGCTCTCAGGAGGGGGAGAACTAAATGGTCTTCACCATGTCTAAGCATGGGATCCTAGTTAAATTTAGAATTACATTGTGCAGTGAGAGAGCCTGAACACCCATAGAAGAAATAATGATAAAGCAATCATTATAGCAAATGAAAAGTGATTATCAAAGCTTATAACTAGCTAGCTGTAATCACAAAGTGCTCAAGACCTTTTTAGTGATCCTGCTCCAGAATGAGTGAGAAGGATACAATGAACTGGCCTGCATTGTATGTGGCTGCTCAATGTTGGTTTGCTCAGAAGCAGAAAAGAAGAGAGAACATTCAACATTCTAGTAGAAATATGCACAGAAATGCCATGCTGAAGAAAGAAATCAAATCATAGCGAGCAAAACAAATGCTTTTCCAGTTTATACATGATTTTTGGAGTAATAGTAACAAAATTACAGTTACACAGTTTATAGTTTAGCAGGGCTCAGAAAGAGTCATGTAGGTAGCAAGAACGTAAGTTCTTATTAGATTTTGAAGGAATGTCAAAAAGCAATAGGTTTATAAGTGATATATAAGCCCTCGTGGTTCAGGTGAAATGAAATCTCAGTTTAATTCCAGTTAAATGGAAACCTTCCTGACCCATCCATAACTAATGAAGGATTTCCCACCTGTCTCATGAAGACGTTTGTCATAATTGCTTCTTAAGGTGGAATGATTGCCTGAGACAGTATATCAGAAAGCTGATCTTAATATAAAATCACAGATTTTTCCTATTTTGCATGTTTTAGGTGAAAACTTCAGTTGCTCAATTTTTTTTAAGAGAAAGAAGAATGTAAGCACTTCATTAATGATTTTACTGAATTGGAAGTCAAGATGCTATATTGTGCCATAGGTTCTGGTTAGCAGTGGAAGACCTGAAGAAGAGGCCTATCCGTGAAGTTCCTGCTCGTGTCCAAGAAATCTGGCAAGAATTTCTTGCTCCAGGTGCACCCAGCGCTATCAATCTAGATTCAAAAAGTTATGACAAAACCACGCAGAATGTGAAGGACCCTGGAAGATACACATTTGAAGATGCTCAGGTCAGTTTGCAATCCCGTTTAGGGACATTTGAAATATAATACTGGCTAGTGAAATCTATATACAAAAAATAAGATCTATTTGGGAATTAAATGGTAATGCTCTGTTTCCTAAGATGACATTTTGGCAATGCAATTGGGTAACATTCTTTCATGAGGCCTATGAACTACTGAAGCTCTTCATGAAACTTCTGTGCCTGGTACAGAGTCTTCAAGTGGACTTCAAATAGAGCAAAGCATGTAGTGTAGTGAAAATTATATTTTCATGTTCCTGTTTTCTTAATTTTTTTATTCAGTTACATTAAAAGAAAATCTCCCCCCCCTCATTGATTTCTAGTTCTCAAGATCTGTCTATGAAAGACTTCCCTTGATACAGACTCAATGTCTATTCTCTCAATGCATGTCCAAAAGTATTGTTATCCCTGACAGGATTCACAGGTTCCCATCATGGAAAGAGTATGACCCATGTGAGAAATAACATTTTGTAACAGCTTGTGCAGGAGTATCATATTTCACAGATGTTTTTTATTCTATACCTTATTAAACTACTACCTACAAAATACTGGGCAGAGATCCTAAAGGTCTGCTCTTCAATAATCAGGGTTACGCAGTAAAGAACAGTCTGTAAATGTCTTATTGGGGATTTGGGAGTCTGATTTAGTCACAATTTGAATACCATCATCAAAAGATACTTTCATCCAGATCTAGATTTGTGAAAACACTTTTAGTTTTGAGATTGGAAGTAAAAGTTAAAAACCCGAAGTGGTAAAAGTTAAAAAACCAAAGTGGTAAAATACAAATCTCGGCTTTCCTCAGAAGAAAAAAACAAGTACTTCTGTATTAAATGCGACACTTCATGTGACTTAGTATGTCATCTTTGCAGATGCTTCTGAGAAAAACAATACAAAAGAATTGGATTCATAGTAAAAATAGCAGAACCAGTACCATCCTCTCTTTTTCATCAGCAGCCCCGTGATGAAAATTTAATTATTAATGTAAAGTGAAATGGTGTCAAAAGGAGAGATTAGATCGTATCCCGGCAGAATTTCCTACAGCTTGATTATTAGGTCATCATCTTGGGAGTCAGGAGATGCTGCTGCAAGTCCCACAAAGGAGAGAAGGGAATTGAATCAGGGCTTTCTTCTTTTTGGGAAAGTTCCTCTGCCCTAAATAGGAGGGGGAAAAATTCTACCACCTTTTCATTTTGATATTATGAGAATAGCAACCTATGATGCAACAATAAAGTTTACATTAAATGCATTATCATAAGTACTGTTTTGAAGTACTGTACATTAAGCCAAACACACAGTTTTTGCTTGTGTCTGCTGACCCCCTGGAGATTTAGGAGCAGCTTATAGCAAAGACATAAGTTACACAAATAATCTAGCAAGACTAAAGGTTTTTAAAAAATATGTCTTTGCAGTTGAGTCACTAAAGGACTAAAGGACAATTAAACTCCTTGCCAGTATCCTTTTTTTTAAAAAAAATAGGTGTAAAATTTCAACACCATTTTACTTCCACATCTCTCTTCTCTCCTCCCCACCCCCCTTCATTTACGAAAGACGTATTCAGTCTTTATGTAAGCAGAACTTTTTCTCCTGTCAGACCTCTGCTTATTTGATCCAGTTCAGCACACAACTTAAACCTGGAAGCCTCCATTTCTCTGGGAAAAGGGGGCTGTGTTCTGACTTTACAGATTGCCCCACCTGAAGTGGCAGGGTTTTGTCAGGAGTAGGGCTCTGCCTCTGCAACAGGCTCTCTCTGCCTCTGCTACAGGCTCTTTATGGTCTGCCAGTTGGGAAAGAGACCACTTATAAGCCATTCTGGTAGTCAGCAGGTCATTTAATTGTGGTTAAAAATATTTTGAAAAGCATTTCTGGTCTTGAAAGGTGGCACCACAGAACTCCATGTCAAATGAGAGTGATATATAAGTAAAAATAGACCAATTGTGCTAAATAACATCCAGCCTCAATACCTGACTAATGTGTACATTAACAATACTAATACAGCCTAATTTGTTCTTGCTTTTACAGGGTTGTTTTTTGCATAGAAATAACATTTTGATGCCCATGACCATTGACATGTACAACGGGAGCAGAGTCCTTTCTGCTCTCTGTTGACTGCATTGGCTGCTTTCATAGATACTGAGTGGAATAAAAACTCCCCAAATGAACCACCCTAAATTCTGAATATACACCAGAGTTTCTCTGCTTAGTGCAAGAACTACAATGAAAGGCACTTACAATAATTTCTAGAGTTTCTAATATGACAAGAATTAAAAGCTAGCTTTAATTTTGCCTTGCCATAATTTTCAAGCAAAGTGATTTGTTGGGTTTTTTTTTTTTTTCTATACACTAATTTTATGCAGTACCAAGCTGAGAAACAATATTTACTTTACAGTTTATTTGCTGTTTCCTGATTGCTGTGCTACAAGTTTCCTATAGCAAAAGGTAGGGTTTGAGTAAAAAATAAACCAAAAATAGCTAACAAAATTCAGTGGATTTTTAAAAAATATTCTTTTGGAGAGTGTTTTCTTTTCCAATTGCATTTTCTGTAGATCTCTTTCCTAAGATTATAACTAGAACTAGAATGATAGAGTCCTATATCATCAATTTTTAGTTTTTAATATTTTACAGAAATGAGAATGCTCCAAAAATAAAAGCTCTATAAATTGCCTGTGTCGTTTGTTTTCTGGATAAGGGTTTCCAAATTTTCATATGCCTCTGAAGAATAAATATCTTGGAAATTAGATTAGCATGGAACTGTTTTTCAATTTGCATATGTATCTTCCTTTTTGTATAGTCAGCTGGATAGCAGACTAAACATCTGTCAAAGGATGTTTTCGAGAGTAGCTGGGGGATATCTTCCCTAACTTCAGCACTTATTTGTGGTGCTGAACTAGAAATATAGTACCTTTTCCCAGCCTATGAAGTCAGAAAAGCATCTCCAGAAACTAATTCAGAAAATGTGATGAGGAAGGATCCACAGCTCCTGATTTAGTCACTTAGCTAAACTGACTAATGTAAGGGGGGTTTGAAACTGGCCTTAAGCTAGGATTCAATTGTAAATTGTTAGAAAAATAATTCTGTAGTGGAAAAAGGGACTATGAATTAAAGAAGGGTGTGTTGTGTTCTTTATCCATAACAAATAGGTGGCATTTCTGCTTTAAGAATAGAGAGCATTTCAGCCTTAGCTTCAGAACTTCAACCTGATATCCCATGAGACTTCCTATTCAAAATAGTGCTAGCTGGTACATGTTCCACAACTAAAACGCATTGACTGCCTCCTATTTTACATATGTGTTCTTTTAGGGGAGTAACAGTGCCTTCTTTTCCTTTCAGGAGCACATTTACAAACTGATGAAAAGTGATTCTTATCCTCGTTTTATACGATCCAGTGCCTACCAGGAGCTGCTACAGGCCAAGAAAAAGGTATTGGTCCATCTTGCCTTTGTCTTGCCACTGTGCAAAGCGGTGGTTATGTTTGCAACAATACTCAGTCTTCTCTCCCCTGTGCCAGTGCAACTGGATATCTGGTAGGTGACCAGCTTGGCGTGTTTGGAGGGTCACATACACACAGGAGTTCAATATACATATATGTGTATATATCCTGCATGCGGGCATGTTTCAATAAGCTAATCTAGCAAAACTTATTTTTATTTTTACATCCCATATTGTACTGTTTTCTCTGTTATGAAGCACCTTAAATTGCAAAGTGCTTTACAATACATTAAAAAAATGAAATAAAATCCCAGAAGAATAGTCTTTCATGTTTGCAAGTCTGCTTATGTAATAATTGTTGTTCTCTTTATTCCACCTATAAAAGCTACAGAATGTGTTTAGAAACAATCTTATCATATGAGTAACTTCTAATTTCAACTATAAATACAGGGGCTTCTTAATTCTCTCTCTTTGCCTATTACTACATGAGTAGTTTTGAGTAGGTTAGGTGTCTGACTTGAAAGACTGATCATGTCACACTTCGGCAAACAGACGTTCATGTCTTGGTATGTAATATTTTCCCAGAAAAGTCCAGATTATGGAATGAGTTCTGAATAGACACAGCCCAGAGTATGCGGAGCAGCTTGTGCAATGCAGATTTATATAATGATAAACAATTTTATTAGTGGGCTCTAAATAGTAATCTCCTAGAATCAGCTGGGAGCCCTGTGCCTTGCAAAATCAGGGCCCTGATCGTTACTGGAACAAGGTGGTTATTAACACCGTAGCATTCTATCGTTTATAATGACAACCTAAAATTATATGAAAGTACTGTGTGATTTTGTTTTTTGTTCAAACATTGATTTCTGAAGATCCAATATAGAGAGATGTTGAAAATACCAGAAAGCTACAACTGTCCGTGTGAAGTCCTTAAGTTTGTGAATGTCAGTTCATTAACACAAGATGTGCACTTCATTATTTCTTTTTATTTTCGATTTTTCTTTTGAATCAAACCAGTTTAATCCCCATGAAAAATTATTTTTGTCAAACACTATCTCTGCTTTGCCCATCCTCTGTTTTGCAGAGTCCCATTACAGCATCATATCCGTGTTTGCTTCCTGATTTATACAAACTTTGTTTTGCAGTCCATTGTTTCATCAGCCCTTCTTTTCTACTCCATTTTTTCTTGCTTTTGTTTTTCCCCTCCTTTTTCTTTTTGTTTCTTTGGTTTTTTTTATTATTTTAAATTTAAGTTGGAAAACACTCTGGATCGTCGAACATCTTTTGAGAAATTCACACGCAATGTGGTAAGTTTGTTGCCTCGGAAGACTAGTAAACCTGATGGGACATCCTTCTCCCCTCCCCCTCACTGATCCCTACTTTCCCTTTTTGCTTTTCTAATCTAACAGTTAAAAGTGTATTCATCACAGTTTGTGAATTTTCCTAGGAATGACAGCTTTATAATGTGCTTTCATTACAACCCCTCCTCCCTGGTCCCTTTCCCACTGACCTCAATAGTCACACACGGAGGAATGGAGCTTTGGGAGCCATGCTTTTTGCATTAGGAAGCATGAAATTATTCACTTTTTTTTTTTTTTTTAATTGTAGTAAAGAATCTGCAAAAATTTGCTTGATGTTGTTCCTTTTTCTGGTGCCTCCCAAAATACTAAATCCAACACAGTTTGAATACATTGGATTTCCGTCCCGTCTCCTTTTTAATTTACTAAAAGAGAGTTTGCCCCATTTTTTTTTTTTAATTGGACACAGGGAAAAATAAACAATAATAATTTCCCCATCTTCCTTAATGTCTATCACAGCTTCTTCAGGACCAAAGAATTCATGCTGATGATGTGCAAGGGTTTGATTGGGCTTTTGTTTTGATAATGGACTACAAGAACAGATTATTTTTTTAATATATGTATAATTTTCAAAAGCTATTTCATGAAGGTAAACAATGAAGGCTGGTAAATTTGCTGTGGACATTCTCTTGCCACCTGCTGAAAGATCCACTGATTTCCTGATATGTGGGATTCTTTTTACTTATCCAGTTTCTTTGGATTTTTTTCTTTTTAATATTGTGTAAGTTCAAACTAAAGCATTCAACGCATTTATTTTTGTAGGGCAGAAACATCCCTATTTTCCCATGCCATAAAAACTGTACACCAACACTGAGGGCGAGCACTAACCTGTTATGAAAAGAGGTAGAAAGATCTTGGATTATACTCAAGTTTGTCTGCATTGTCTGTTGAATTGTGCAGGTGACGCTGCTGTGTGTGTGTGCGTCCGTGGCTTTTTCTGTGACCTGGTTAGTGGAGCTGTGTGCATTGAAATGAAAAATATGAGAGCTTTCAGCAAAGATCATGGTTTTTGTTTTTTAGTTTCTAGGGAAGGAAAAGTAGTTCTCTGAAACTGCCTCCCATATAATGAGGCTCAAGAGTATTTCTTCAAAGTATTTAAAATATATATATACTTTGTAGTAATCAAAAAAAGAAACAAATGCAGTGAAAGAACAAAGTTTTGTGAGGTTGTGGGATTACCTCCCATGTTAAAACAAAACTGTAATTCTTTAACTACTTTCTTATAGGTAAAGGCTTCCTGTAATATGCTTTGAATCCACTGTAATCAGGAAGAAATTTGGATTCAATGGGACAAAGTCAGTAAAGGACAGAAAAAAAGTAAATAAACAGCCACAAAGGAAACTATCCCAATGTTTGAAACAAAAACCCCTATATTTTGCATGGTGGTGTTGCCATAGCATGTTGCAGTGTGATTTGTGTGTTGTCTAAGTAGGTTGATCTATAAAACAACATTGTACATGATAATATTATACATGATAATTACATGCTAATTCCATAGGAAGTTCCATATTAATAAAAGAATCTATGTTAATAAAAGAGAGTGTAGAGAGTAGGTAGTGCCTCTGGGAACTCTGAGAGCCAGGCTATTTTCCCAGTCACAGTGCCTGGCAAGCTGCAATAGCTACGTTTATTCATTGGAGTTTAAGTAGCCCACAGACCAGGAACT